TCTCTCTCTCTCTCTCTCTCTCTCTCTCTCTCTCTCTCTCTCTCTCCTCTCTCTCTCTCTCTCTCTCTCTCTCTCTCTCTCTCTCTCTCTCTCTTCTCTCTCTCTCTCTCTTCTCTCTCTCTCTCTCTCTCTCTCTCTCTCTCTCTCTCTCTCTCTCTCTCTCTCTCTCTCTCTCTCTCTCTCTCTCTCTCTCTCTCTCTCTCTCTCTCTCTCTTTCTCTCTCTCTTTCTCTATCTATCTATCAGTTTATCTCTTTACACGTATCTATTTCACTTCATTTAATTATTTTTCCTTTGTGGGTATTAGAAGTCCTATTCTTCGTGTCATTAAATCTCATCCATGTATTTTACCTATGGCTTTTTTTATCAACCTATCTACGAGTATTTCCTCCTTTACAGTTTTTCTTTCTTCTTTACAAAAAGTAGTTTCCCCCACCATTTTTTTTTCTATTTTCGTTTCTACTATTTTTTCTAGATTGGTATTTTGTCGTCCCTTCTAACGTGATGGAATTACAAACCCAATTTTCTTTCCTTTCTTCATTTTTCTTTCTTTCTTTCTTCTTTTCTCCCTTCTTTCCTTTTTTTCTGTTTCTTTCTTTTTTCTTTTGTCCCTTCCTTCCTTATTTTTCTTTGTTCCTTTTTTTTTTCTTTCTTTCTTCTTTCTTCCAAATCCAATATTCTTTCCTTTCTTTCTTCCTTTCATCCTCCCTTCCTTCCTTTTTCCTTTCTTTTTCTGTCCTTTCCTCCTTCTCCCCTTCCTTCTCCTTTCCTCTTCCTTCTTCTTCTTCTTCCTTCCTTCCTTCCTTTCCTCCCTCCCCTTCTTCCTTCCCCTCCTTCTTCTCTCTTCCTCCTTCTCTTCCTTCTTTTCTTTCCTTCCTTTCTTCTTCCTTTCCTTCCCCGTTCTTTCCCCTCCCCTTCCCTCCGTCTTCTTCTTCTCCTTCTCTCCCTTCCTTCCTTTCTTCCTTCTCCCCTTCCTCCCTTCCTTCCTCTCTTCCTTCTCCCCTTCCTCCTTCCCTTCCTTCTTTTCTCTCCGAGGAAAAGCTTCGGCAGCAGAGAAATGATTTTCTAAGCAATATATAAGGAAGACATGTATAGGGAGGTGGGAGGGTGGGGTGTGTGGGGGGAGGGGGAGGGGGGGGTCCTCGTCTATTTTGATATCCTGGTCCGGATTTGAAGAGGATTGCGAGGGCGTGTGGATATAGAAAGTGGGTACGGGTTTGGTTCAAGGTTTTATTTATTATTGTTATTTCATTTTAATTTATTTATTTATTATTTATTATCTTTTATTGTTATTATTATTTATTATCATTTTCATTTTTTTTTTCTTTTAGATTTCTGTTTTTATTCTCTCTTTCTTTCTTTCTTTCATTATGTTTTCTCTGCTATATTCTTTGTTCTTTAGAATGAATATATATTCATACATACTGTAGTATAATATATATATATATATATATATAATATATATATATATATATTATATATATATATATATATATATATATATATAATATATATAATATATATATATATATATATATATATATATAATATATATATATATATATATATATATATATATATATATAATATATATATATATTATATATATATATATATTTATAAGTATATATATATATATATATATATATATATATATATATATATATATATATATATATAAACAAAAATAAACAAAATAAATAAAAATAGGTAAATAAAAAGCAAAAATAAACAAATAAATAAAAATAGACATAATAAAAAATAAAAATAAACAAATAGATAAAAATAGACAAACAGAAAACAAAAATAAACAAATAAATAAAAATAGACAAAAAAAAACAAAAATAAACAAATAAATAAAAATAGAAAATAAAAAACAAAAAATAAACAAATAAAAAAAACAGACAAACAAAAACAAAAATAAACAAATAAATAAAAATAAACAAACAAAAAACAAAAATAAACAAATAAATAAAAATAGAAAAAAAAACAAAAAAAACAATAAACAAAAAAATAAACAAATAAACAAAATAGATAAATAAATAAAAAATAAAAAAATAGAAAAAAAAATAAACAAATAATTAGATATAAATAAAAGAAAACAAATATTAAAAATAAACAAAAATAGATAGATAAAAAAAAACAAATAAATAAAGATAAACAAAAAGAATAAACGTGTCACTCAATTTGCGAAATCGCTTTGAGCGACCGATCGCAGACTCGGCTCAAAGGCGTCGGGAAATTACAACCCACTTTTTGCAACCGAACGAAGAATTTTGAAACGGATATTAATAAAGGGAACAAGTGAATTAGCTTCTTTTCGGTCGTTCTCTTAAAAATTCGGTCGCTGGTTGGATTTGATCTTAATTTAGACTCGAATTGAGCTAAAGATATCCAACGGCGGTGGATAGGCAAATGGATAGATAGATGGATAGGTTGGTAGGTAGGTACACACACGTACACACACGTTCACACACATACACACACACACACACACACACACGCATATATGTGTGTGTGTGTGTGTGTGTGTGTGTGTGTGTGTGTGTGTGTGTGTGTGTGTGTGTGTGTGTGTGTGTGTGTGTGTGTGTGTGTGTGTGTGTGTGTGTGTGTGTGTGTGTGTGTGGATAGATAAACAGACAGACAGATAGATAGATGGTCTGACAGATACATACATACATGAACAGACATACAAACAAACAAATAGGCACTTAGATAAACAGACAGGTGGATAGACAGAAACAATTAGAAAGAGGGAGAGAGAAGCAGAGAAAGAGAGAGAGAGAGAGAGAGAGAGAGAGAGAGAGAGAGAGAGAGAGAGAGAGAGAGAGAGAGAGAGAGAGAGAGAATCAAATTAATCACTCCAAGTGATAACTTCATTCTTGGATATAAAATTAATTACGCAATTTATTCTTAACTTCCCCCTCAGATTTTTTTCTTTTAGAAGTTGCAGAATAAAATCTAATTTGAAATCTGAGAGAAAAAAAAAAAAAAACATTTGTATCACAAAGGCATTCTTGATTTATATCTCTTTATGATATTATATTATATCTCTTTATGATATTATATATCTTTATGAAGTGACCAAAACACCAAATCTTCATGTCCAGGAATTGCATCCATGTTTATATTGCATTCATATGACATTATCAAAGGTAGAGTAATTATCACGGTTTATTAATTAGCTAAAATTCCATTGAACATCATCCTGAAATTGTATATAATTTTTGCAGTCGAATTATACATGATGGGATTCATTTCTGCAACCAGGCAATAGTGCAACACGAGCTGAATTGTTCATTAAATGTATGCAATGACATTTTCAGCAGAATCAAAGGTGTTTGTGTGTGTATGTAAAAATGTGTGCGAAAGAAAGAAAAAAAAATACTATTGGGAGATCTAAATCATTTTTTTTTTTTTTTTTGGTATTCATTTCTATTTTTCTTATACTGATTTTTCTTTTTTTTTCTTTCCAAATTAACATTACATGCTAATGTGCAATTTGCCTATTTCCAAAGCCGGTTTTATAACACCTGACCGATTTTCATTAGAGACATTAATGAATTTATCAAAAATAAATGTAGATCAGTCCAAAACATTATATTGTTTTCGTATTGTTCGAGCTCGATGCAAGATAAGGCTATATCACTATAGCCCTTAGTAGAGTATGGGAAAAGTGACTGTTAGGTGAGTGTGTCTATGTTAAAGCACTTATACAGAAGATCGGTATGGGACTTGTGTGCGTTGTGTGTGTGTGTGTGTGTTGTGCG